CATCCTAATTGAAAAATTACATATTTTTGTGTATTGACATGTATTGACTGTAAGCGCTAAGCTATTTGAATCTATTTGAGTCGTTTTGGGGGAATATACTCTCAAGAAATACAGTGTATCAGCTCCACCTGCGGCTGGACCTCCATCCTCCCCACCCCACCCGAAGCAACAGCCGGGCCCCCATCCGCGCCTCAGGCGTGACCTCCGGCGTGGAGATCCGTGGCATACTCTGCTGGGAGATGGGCCGCGGCAGCGGCGCGTCCACTTCTGCCGACGACATGGGCGAGCTCCGCGGCTCGCGACCGGGCGCCGAGGAGCTCGGTGGTGCCTCGGCGAGGGGAGGCACCGCGGTAGCGAGGTGGGCCGAGGACGGAGAGAGTCACCCGGCGGTGTCTGTCGTTTCCCGAAACGGCGTCCTGGACACCGAGGAATGAATCAAGATGAGGAATGTCAATTTGCGGAAAGGTCAAGTGTATAGCTTCCATCACACTTAAAGAAGCACGGTTTTGCAACCCCCAAGGGCCATGAGCACGTGCTTTTTCGAGGTGGATTGCCCAAGCCCGCGGCTCCGACCGGTTGATTCATTCCAGGTTGTAATTATCCTTTCTAAGGCTCTTACAAGTAGTTGGATGTGGCAAGTGGATGTGTTGAGGTTGAGGTGAAGATGCGCTGCGTTTGATTGTGATTGCCTCTTGCGAGGTTGTTTTTTCTAACATTTCCCAAACAAATTGTTAATATGATCGATCTTGTTTCGGGTCAAAGGGCTGCAATATCTTTGGACAATGGGCTCCAGGCTCAAGTGTCTGCCCAACAAAGAATGGTTTCAGCTTCTCACATACAGGATCGATCTACCACAATGACCCCACATGTATGCCCAAAATGATTTTGTTCACATACGTTTCAAGTTATTTCGGTGTCTTTCCTACCAAAATGTATGCCACACTGAAATATCCTTTAACCTCCTTTCTCAGGCCACTGGTCCACCATCCTGCACCATCCAAGCCCGAGGCGCCCGGTAGACCGGAGCCATGACGGGACCACCCACTGGTCCAGATCCCGGCGGGCCCGGCATGGCAAAGAACGGCTGCACCTTGGGCAAGCTGGCACTGCCCCGCGGCTGCGTGGGTGACTGACTGCCTGGGCGTGGCGTCGTCGCTCCCGCGCTCGGTGTGGGAGGACTCCGAGGACGAAGCGATCGACAAGGCGGGAGGACGGAAGGATGACAAAAGGGCCACCGTTGCGGTGCCCAAAATAAAAATAACACACGGTCCATCTCACAGGGGACGGGGACGGGTGGTTTCATACATTTTTGCTAATATATCTAATACATGCCGAATATATGCAGATGGGTGGTGCCCAAGGCGTCATTGTGATGCCGCCTCTTCATGGCGGACCGGGAGACGCGACCCAGTCCAACAGGGACATGGAAGGATGGTATGACAACTTGAAGTTCATCTGAGTTCATCTCCCCAAAAAAACCAACTGCCATGTGGTATGACATATATATATATATATATGTGCATATTTCAAGCATAGAGCGCGACTTGCGGTCCCTGTCCGTCACGGCCTTTCATAGGCAGTGAAGATATTTCAAGTATATAAGTTATATATCATAAAAGAGATATAGATTGGGTCTATCCTTTTACCAGTAACAATGGATGATGTTTAGTGACGGCTCTTCTCTAAATTAGTGAAACAAAGTGATGCTGTTTACGGACTGTGACAGAAAACAAGGACAAACCCAAGATATAGTTATATCACCCCAACTGATCGGCATATATGGCAGTCCCATGGGTCGGTGTCTGGGTATATGATGATATATTGAAGCAGCCAGTTGGATCATCCCTCTCACTTTCTGAAGTTCATCTCCCAAGTCTCGAGCTTGTCCGAAGATCCCCGGTGCACCGTTGGGCGTCGCAGGCGTGGGTGGCAGGGAGCCCGGTGGTGAGGCGGAGATGCTACCGCCATTGCTGGACCTGAGAGGGTCGAGGCACGGAGGCGATGGGTCAGGAGGGATGATCTGGAGGGTTTTGGGCCATCTTACGGTTGGACTGATCGATCTGCTACTGGACGGTTGGGGCGGGTTGGACGTGACGAAAATGGGATGTGGCTCAACACCGAGGTTTTGCCACAGCGGGTTTGGATGGCACCAATATTTGGTGAGCCATATCCCTAATACCGTAGATGCATTAATCCCGTCTTGGATTCTTTGACACATGTGGCCCCGAGCCGCTTGGCCTTTACTCTTGACTCGCATCCAAAGATGGGTGCGGCTCCCAACATGAGGAACCTGGCAGTCTACACCCGCGCAAACGGACCACCTGGACCTGGAAGAAAAGTCACCCATGGTTCAAACCATCTTTGGAGGTCCATGGCGTCCGAATGGTAGGAGGGTACCAGAGAGGTCCCCAAATGACATGGACCCCTAAAGGACTTAAATACGCCGATAGCCGATAGGTAGTATATTGGGGGGGTCCGAATTGGGGGTCGGCTGTAAGTCCGGAATTGGGGGTCGGCTACGGGGATTCTCAGCTTTCATCATCTCACCATTCCAAAAGGGGTGGCGCGTTTCCCTCCTCACCCCTCTGGCACGCCCAGCGGCGGTGGCGCCCCCGGCTGCGGCTGGGGGCCGTTCGGCGGCGTGCCGTTCGGCGATGGAAGCCTCGTTCGTGGCGCGTGGCGTCGACTCAAAAACCGCAGGAGTCACAAAGGGGTGGTGTTTAGATGTCTTTAGTCCCATCCAGTGAGTGGATCATGGGCACCCTTAACCTCCATCAAGCACCCTTTTGGAATGTGTATTGCACTATAGGGAGAAAGCACATGGGTAGACTGGTCTATTTCCTGAACCAAACCCAGGGGGTGGTTGCCCTTGCAGCCCTCCCTTTTTCAATATGCACACAAAAAAATCATCAAACATCGAGCCATGCCGGTGCAAACCTTCGACCGTCCTGTCCGCAACGACCTCCCAGTCGGAACCCATGCGCAAGCAGTTCCGAGCCGCTGCAAAGGAGGCCCACTGATCTGTGGTTGCATCGGTCCAGGCGCTGGAAGCTGTGGAGATGGAGGCTGATTCACCGGCACCACCATCTGAGGAGTGATCCTTGGGAAGATGCATCCATCCGGCAGGTGTAGAGATCCCGACATGCGCGTGCACCACGCCAAGTGAGACAATGATGTCCGATTTGGGGATATCATAGAAGGGGTCGATGTAGTACCTTTTCGGTCAACCCCATTTGCTTCTTCACTGATTCTTTGGGATTCCTCCAATCATCCGCCGAAAAGGCAATCTTTATCCATCCATCCCAGGTGATCCTTGCCACAAAACTCTGGTGTCCTTAGCCGCCTTAGCCCAGCCTTGTGAGAAAGCTGGTGGGTCCATGCCTTGTGAAGGATTTCCTGGCGATTCTGTGTGGTCGCCGCTATGTCCGACCTCGAGGATCCTTCAAACATAGCAAAAATAAGAACTTCTGAATGCGCACATGTGCTTCGAGGTGAAAGCCAGCCTCTGTTTCGAACCAATAGTCATTCACTAGTGCTCCACTGTAGTGGATTCGTCTACCTATTCACCTATTCAACCAATCAACTCTGTGACAGCCAAATCTCAAAGATCCTTGCTCGTTCAATCACGGCCTTGCTTGACCGGGGGGATTCAGCTCCCCTCCGTTCCGCTTCCCACCGGGGGCAGTAGTTCTGTAATGGGATGTTCGGGGTTAAACCACGTACCGATCGCCGATCAGGTCTCCGAAGCGTTCGGAAGCCGAAACTCGGTCTGGCAGATCATCCAAATCTGTACCCCTAGGGCTCCAAGTACCTCCTCAGAAGGTATTTGGACCCTCTAAACTCACCCCAAACACCTTCTTAGAAGGTACTTGGATCCCTAGGGTACGGTTCTTTTTTGCGGGGAACATACCATTCACTCCTTTTAGGTCAAATGAGTGACACTCGATCAAACTTGAACCTTTTTCTCCCTTGGTCATGTGGCTTGGCACCATCTCCCTCTCTCCCTCGACCCTCAACAGATCGATCAAATGTTTTGGCTCGATCCGCACGATCTCCGATCTCTCCAATGGCTCTCCCGACGCTGTGCGGTCGTCGGGAACGGTGCGTATACGCTATACACTCCATGTCCGGCCATGTCTGCAACCCTTGTGGTCCTGCAGTGGCTGTACGTTTTGGAGGACAGGACATTCCGTTGAATAAGAGCACTAAGCCTGATTTCAGGCACTGAGCCTGAACATCCGAACATGCAGAGCTTTCTGAATCCTCCCATCCAGTTCCTATTGAGGTTAGAGCTGGAACCTCTTCCTGTGACCGAAAGAACACCACAAGAAGAACTAGAATGGAGGGTCCAAGTTCGAATTCAACCTAGGCTGATGCCAAGAACATCTCACCTAGCACTGCGCTTCTTGCCTTCTCGGCACAAAGCATGCAGCTGCTTTGTAGACATTTGCGCGGTTCCCTCAAGGTCTGGACACCCACGGTCACAGGGAGTTGCCGTTTTCCAGCTTATCAGTTTATTTGTTCTTCTTTCTCTATCTCTTTTCCTGAAGTCAAGCCCCTAAGGTTTTGATGGGTCTGATGCCTGAACCAACGTGAACTTCATTTACAATGAACCTGCCCTCTCCCTCTCTCACACACACACACACTTTCTAGCCGCCCTAACCGCTGAGAACTTTCCCGGTTGAGTCTTGCCACTGTGGTGCCATGTCCACATCTGACAAAGGAAGCACCCTTTCTTCCTGGCTCTAAGGACGTCTGTGGAAAGATGCAGGATGCAGCTTTCTCGTTCGTTCACGTGTCTGATTTGTTCTGGGTATTCTGTCCAGTTCTAATCAACACATCAAATAACACTTGTCCCTTCTCCTGGGTCTTTGGCATATTGATCATCCATCCATATACATCCCAAGACCTTCTTTTTGGGAACTCTCTCTCTCTCTCTAGTATAGGCTAAATATTTACATCAGCACCTTTTTGGTATGACCATGTATGACCAATCCTTTCAGCTGGACTCGGCACCCGATCCCATTTTCGGCTCTCCAGGCCTTTTTGAGGCTGCGCTGCGCTGCGCTCACTTAGCTCGCCTTCATGTCGGGCTTCATGTACTTCCTGGTCGCCCAGCTGAACATCAGGGTCACTGCGAATAAGCCCAGCAACACCTGGGCCGCGTCGACCGGTGGGCGCTGGAACGTGAACCCGATGTCTCGGTGAACGTCGTGCACGCCGGTAGAAGGGTAGAAGGACCCAGGACGTGGGTGAAGGAGGTAGTCATGAGTCATCTACAGTCCAAACATGACACAAACGTGACAGAAGTCTCCTCTTAGGTGGAAAGACTTAGAGTGGACCCCAGACAAGGTCTAAGTCATCGGACTTGAACTTTTGGTCGATGGAACACCTCCATACTTGGAACTGTCCATCTATATTGTCAGATATCTGTAGGGTCTATTCCAGTAAACCTGTACAGTAACAGTCGGTAAACTCGATTTTGGAGAAAGGCCTGCAACCTTAACCATCATTCTTCACTGTTACTGGTCATAGGATATATATATATATAATATATATATACCTATATAGATATTCAGTCCACAGGGTCCGGCACCGGACTTCCAACTCCAGGTATATGTAATCCCCCAAAAACATGTCTCTCGATCTGCTTCCCAGGTCGCTGGTGCGAAGCTGTCGGGATTCAGCACGGCGCAAATGATGGAGCCGCCTCCACGGCCCAAGGACCTGGCACCGGTCCACCAGTTCGCTCCGGGCAAACCGGGGAAACGGCCGAGGGTCGAGGGAAAGTGGCCCGGGTCGGTGCTGGGGTCGGATGGAGGAAGCGTATTTGGGGAGCGCTTAGCTGTGAGGAGATCCGACTGGGGTGGATTGGATGACCTCAGACTGGCCAACACTCTGGGGAAGCTTCGCACCACCTGCCAAGTTCAGGCCCCGTTCCATCGACGTTCTGCAAAGCAACAAAAATGGTTTCGTCTTCCACACGGGTAGGTGCGAAGATGGTTTCGCCACACCACGAAGACCCACCGTTTCCTTAAACACGTCGAGGCTGATCGGGTCTCAGTCGTGGTCTCACAAAGGGAGGCCGTCCTTTTCATCGGGACCGGAACTGACAGGAAATCAGCTAGTAGTTCGCATGTCGCCCTTTCAGGAGTGAGTCTAAATGTTTTCCCACTAAAATCTCTTCACAGAAGCATTTTGTGATACATAAAATAGATTAGATGTAATTAGGGTCTTAAGGTAGGTGCCTCCAAGATCCTTCTGTGAGACACATCCCACTGGCACTCGACTGCAGATCTGCGATCCGGGGTGCATCGCCACCGTGGCCCAAGTCATGATGGAGTTCACCGCCTCCGCTGGAACCAGCTTGGAACAAATACCTCGGTAACCGGGTCCTGAGGCTCGGTGTTTGAAGTGGAGAAGGCGGTGTGGTGAGTGCGGCCTGAAGGCCGAGACTTTCGGAGGGGTGTGACTACTAAGCAGCTTGGACGTCGGATCAGTGGATCAGATGAGTTGCATCACAATGGACGGGAATCCGAAATCCAGGAAGAAAGCCAGTGACGATGCTTATCGATGCTTCCCTCGAAGCTGTGCTGCTTTTGGACATTTTTTGGACCAACCATGCTGTTGTTGGCCCATTTTGGACCGGAAGAGAACCAACAACAACAACGCTTGTGAATGTGAATGCGAAGGTATGTGAAGGTCATACTGTGGACCTGGAACAGCGAATAGTCCCCCCCAGGCCGAAGCAACTGCAACCGATGTGGATCTCCAGACCATTTGTGACACCGAAGCTTTCAGGAAATGACCTCAACATACCTCAACGAACTCGTCGCCAACCATTCTGAGATATGTTGAGCGTTTTTTCCTCCCGGTTTGCTGATGTCACTCTCGGAACTGGTGCGCACGTGCTTCATCGTCACAACCCCAGGCCCCGGCGAACATCGCAGAGCTTTCTCGGCCAAGGTGCTCAGGGCCAAGGCTCGCGTCAAGCCATTGGTGACCAACACTGAGATCAACCCAAAGGACAATAAGGACACCTTGGTTCGGAAGCCGAAAACCCTTGAAAGATCTTAATATGAACAGTCGACGAAAAACATAGGAAAACATCAAGCCACGGATCCAAACGAGAAAAACCTCGGTTCGGAAGCCCCAAATCACCCGTAAGAAGACCCTTCCGGCCAGACTGCCTGGAGCTCACTGCGTGGATCTTGGGAACCGATCTCACCAACCAAAACGCGGAGTTTTGGGCGTGGTTTTTTGGACGTGGTTCCCAAGGTTTCGGAGTCTCCCCTGGAACAATTCGCTTTCGTTCACCGTGAACAACCCCCTGGTTCCGAAGGGTCTTCGCTTCCGAATGCTCCTTCCGCATCCCCCCCGCCGACCGGTCCGAGATCGCCCGGAGTGACCATCGTCTCTGGGTTTGCCTCTTGGGCCCCCCCATGCCCCACCTTGACCAGATCGAATGCGACACCTTGATGACATAGATGACTCGTGAAAAGGGCTTGGAAATGCGACCCCAGCCATGTTCTTGCTGCCAAGGCGCTTTCCAGGATTGACTGTCCAAATCAAAGTTGAACAAGAAGACACACGAGAGGCAAGCAACAAAGGTGCCCATCAGCAAGCCTGTGATATCATTGAAGGCCATGCACTGAATCACTTTGCCCAAGCTCAGGTTGAAGACGCCCGAGATTAACATCAGAATCGCCACCTTCAGCGGCGTCTTGATCAACTACTCGTCTCCTCCCGATGGACCGAACGTCCGAACGCTACACCTGAGGTCCAAGGGTTCAGACCTGCAGACCAGTCGGTGGGTCGTGTTTCAACCCCAAAACCCCATGAGGTCTCATCCGTTGGCACCAGACCAAGAGACAGGTCTTAAGGGTGTAGGCTGTGCGGTTTTTTTTTGTTTAATTCATGTAGTACTCTCTAAGAGTCTAAGAGTATCCGTTGGCAACATGATTTGGCGCCTCAAGATCTGCCAGTCGCTCAAACAAACCAAAAAAACGCGAGTGACGCCAAAGGAATCCTGCAGCCGGATGCCACCAACCCCCCTGGTGGGGAAGGATATCAGCGGCCCCGAAGCGTTCCAACAAGCTAGGCAACACGCTAGGCAAGTAAGTACTCGCCGGGGAGGCGATCACAAGACAACAGAGGCGATCACATCCAAAGCCTTCCCTTGTACAGTGACATTTGTTTTCTGATCTCACTTTCTCAGGATCATAGCTGGGTGACTGTATCTGATTGTACGTATCTGTACTTGCAGTGCGCGGTGGGGCAAAAAACTGAACAAGTGAGGTGCTGGGAGCGTCCTTGGATGGCAGTCCAACCAAACTAAACAAACACGTACCTCCAACGCTCCCTCCTTGAACTGCCAAAGCCGCTTCAGGCACATGGACCAAAGCTCTTCCCACGAATCAGCCGTTTCAGACCACCACTACCAAACCCCAACCCCATCCTTCCAAACAGCCTAATTACATCTCTTCTTGCCAAACAAAGCAACCCTTCACGCAAATCCCAAACAGCCCAAACAAGTCCAGCTCGCCCGGATTTGATTTTTGCGTTCCGGAAGAGACCCACATGGAACCTGCAAATCACTGGGTTGGAACATCATATTCCAAAGGTCTGTTTTCAGGTTTCCTGTTAATCTTCCCGGGTGTATCCAAGTCACGAACCAGGCACTGCTCTCAATGGACCACCCCATATGGTGCCGTGCCACATTGATGGTGTAGACCTCGAAACAGCTTGAGGGAAGAAACGAATGGACAGGTTGTTGCAAAAACATCAAGGTGACTCCGTTGATGTGCAAAGTTGATCCACCCACAAAGGATAGGGATCATAAAACTAAACATGAAGAGTATACCCTTCCCATGTCATAGAGGATACTGTCAAAAGGGATCAAATTTATAACCTCAGAACTGAGTTTTGCCTCCGCTTTGTCCTACAAACTAAGTGAAGAAGGAAAAACTCCCGTAATTAAATGCTCACTTCTTCCTCACGCGACTGACTCCTATTGACGACCGTCCCCCGGTATTTTTGGGTCTCAACCCGCTCCAGGACCAGGTTTGGGCTCCGTGGGTGGAACATGCGCCACTGGAAGACGATCTTCTCCCCCTACAAATAGGATCAAAGAGGGCATCGTTTCCGGGCAGAAAACACGTCTTAGTATCTCTTAGTAGGGAGAGGTTCTGTTCTCCAGCGGATCATTTTTCCACTTCCATCATATACTTCGTGATGTGTTCCGTCTTGAGTGCTCCATCCCTCCATCCCTCCCGCAGGCCACCTCGACGCCGGTGATCACGGCGCTGGACACAAAGAGCTGCCAAAACATGGCGCATGCCTTGGACCAACGCGGCGCGGTCGCTCGGCTCACTCGGCGCCGCCGCTTCGCTGCCGGTTGGAGGAGGAGAGGAGCCGTTTGGGGGAAGAGGAAAGGGTGAAGAGAGCAAGCACTGGGATGAGAACATGGAGGGTTTCATGGAGTTCTCGGGGCACCTGACAGTGTATTCGGAAGATATGTTGTTTTTGTTTTGAAGAAGTGATATTAAATGACATCATCACAAGAAAAAAAATATAATAACTCTTTCATGGTGCGCATGTTTGTTCATATGGGTTTGTATTTTTTTTAAGGTTCCCGGGCCGGGATGTTTGACTATGGGGTATGCTTCGGAGGTATGCTTCGGGGGGTATGCTTCGGGGTATGCTTCGCGCAGTGTGAAGACTAAAGTAGTAGCATTTTCAGAGGGTATGCTTCAGGGTATGCTTCGGGGGTATGCTTCGGGGTATGCTTCGCCTAAGTCGAACATCCCAGCCCTACATAAACTGGACACCTTAAAAAAAGACAAGCCCATATGTTTTGGCTCGACCCTGGTTGCATGGAGCACCAAACAAAGCACGCGCCCTCCAACAAGTATGACACCTTGGCCGAAGCAAGGGGTGGAGCACAACCGAGGACAACATCCGAGTGGAAGGCGCTGATATTGTTTCAAAGTAAACAAGGGCAAGATGGTGAGGTGAATACACTCCTATAGCTGGCAAAGAGTTGACAGAATCATGTGTAAGTTGATCAGGAGTCTCATGATCCTTTCCTTGGACGCTTACGAGTCATCACGATCATGTCTTTGTTTAGGAGCACGTTCATTTAAAGCAACATAAAATTGACTTCAACCAGTCCAAGTCCTTGTGAGCTTGGAAACATGTTGAAGAACAACATTCGGCCTTGGTCAAATCCTGCGAGGCTCGGGGGGGGGTCGTTCACATGACTGACTGAGTGAGCTTCAACCAGCTGGTGGTACCAGCAGGTCATGTTCTGCACCTGACTTACTAGGCCGAGACAGGCGAAGAACCAAAAAAAGCTTGCTGCCCAAGGTGCTGCTGCCATCGTGGACATCTTCATCCGGTTCTTAGTCTTAGGGCTCTCCAAGGTGCGCCCACCTGCGCTGCGTTGTTCTTCTTTTTTTCTTAGGGCCTCCAACATCGGCAAAGTGGGCCACTTCGAAAGTAGAGTCCCTTCCACATCCCCCACTGGCTGATGTATGCGCCCCAACATCTCCAACAATAATCTTCTGACCCAATCAATTTAAGTACACTTTTCTGGAAGGATAGATGAAAATCATGATATGATACTAGATTATCCTTACAAGAGACCGCAAAAGTTTACATGTGTTCTGTGTTTCCCTCATAGGAAAAAAAAACAGTATCTCAACTTTGGGGAACATCAATGAGTTTTACCCTGTGCTTGGGGCGATCCCGCATCCAGCTTCACACCACATCGAGCTCCCATCAAGTCACTCTTCACTCTGCCCGAACTGCGCCGCCCTCGAACTGCCTGCCTGACGTCACCTCCCGGGTCAAAACGTTGGGCGGAAGATCCTTTAAGCACAAGATGATCTTCACCTGAGATGCGACGCAACCAGCGCTGCGACGCCCCTCCCGGAGGATGCCCGCAGGATGGACATCGCCCCGGGCCTTGGTTCGTGCACCACGAGCCGAGCCCGTTGGGATGCCCCGGAATGCGAGTTCGAGCTTCCTGGATCTTCATCCATTTCAAAGGCTCTTCTGGAGGGTGATCCACTTAGCGTGGAATGACCTCTTCAGAACTTGAAAAGACCTCCCTGGCGGGCTCTTTCACGTCAACATGTCACACCCCAAAAATGGCAGCAGGGCAGGTGTTCTGAGAAAAGACCCGCTTTTTTGATCTTTTTTGACCCTTGGTGGGAGGCAATGTGGTCAATTCTCCAAAGGATCAGTCCGCACTAAGGCCTTGTTGCAGCAGGGGCCCTAACGTTCTGGCCGAACACTGTCCTGCCACCCTGCGAGGTGCCAGGAAACTGTGAAGAAGAGATACGCTGCAGCCATGAACCAGCCTGGAATGGTGTCCTTAGCTTGACGAATCATCTACAGCCAGGGGACTTGAAGGAGCATCTGACTTGCTGCGGACCGACACAAGGAGGCCGCCTCCCTCATGAATTACGAACCACGCGAATTCGAGAAAATCTGGCTGTGAGTCGAACATGAGGGAAGCTTGCCTACTGCTAGTCCAACTTGAGGTGTCTCTTTACTTGAAGACTTAGACTTCAATATAGGTGCAGCACCCAAGAGTAGGTCGATCCACCTGGAACCGGGATCGTGAAGGATCGGGAAGGCCTTTACGAGGCAAAGACAGGTGTTGGTTTCTCTTGAGGATGTTTGTCAACTGTAAAGTATCTCCCTTCACGCTGAAGGTGTATCTTGCGTTCGAAAGTGAAGTTCAACATAGTTCAACACACTTGGAAGAAAGAACGGCTGCTTGCTGCCTCTTTTTCTAAACACGCCGAGCATCAGAGTCCAAAACCAGGTTGTTGATCTTGATAAATTTCCTCAGAATTGCAATCTCAGAGAGTCCTCCTACAAACAGTTGAACTAGCACGCATTCTTTTAATCCCCGCTTTTCCTTCCTTCAGGAGCTTTTCCTTGAAGGAGAAACCGAGAAACCCTGAGCAACTGCATGTGCGACACAACAAAAGACACACGTCCACTCGAAAAAGAAGCAACCGCTACATGCCTCCACTGCATGGTTTGAACATGTTTGAAATATGTTGTTCCATCCAACCAACCAAACCTTTGCTGCACCTCCTCCATCCCCCGGGCCCCGACCCCCCAAAAAAAAGAATTACCCTCCAATTCGGTGAGAAGTGTCATCGATGCCTCCAGCATAGCAGCCAAGGCCGGGCCTGCGGCACAGCCCAGCTGCAGCACCGCAGAGAAGTAGAACAAGACCTCACTGCGCCGCTCGACACCTCAGCACGACGACACGCGACACGACCGCGACGCGACGCGTTACGCGACACGTGGAGTTCAGACTCCGCCCTGCCAAACGACGTCGGACTACGTGGATGGCTGAAAACGCCTGCACAAAACAAACAACAGCACAAAAGAGGTTCGCGGCCGTTTCCTCCATTGAGGATCCATGTTCGCGTCAGGGCGGTTGATTTTTGCAAGACTTTTTGGAGATCGCAGGCATCCGCGAGAAGTACCCCCAGATGTATATGGAATTACGATGCATGAGGCCAAATTGGCATGAATTCACGGGACTCACAGATGGGTTCATCGGCAGATGAGTTGCACGTGCATCGTCACTGCATGCTGGAGAATGATAAACATGGAACACGCAGTCATCCAAAACACCAACCCCGAATTCTGCTTATACTGGAAGCAATCAGACACGCCAGGTCTATATAGTCAGAAAAAATGTCAGAAATTAAGTCAGCCTGGGGGGCCTGGCCTAGCTCATTTCAATCTGAAAGTTCAGGATCAACACTTGAACAGTACACGCTGCATTAGTTTTGACAGCAAAAGATAACCCCCCAACCGGCTGGAAAAAACATTCTTCATCCTCTCGCCTCTCGCCCCGAAAAGTCTTGGCACATTCTTCTCGTGCTGTCGCTCGTCGCGCGGACGAGCGTCCCACAGTGTGCGAGACGTAAATGCCCGGCAGGCTGAAGGCGCTGAAGAAACCCATCAAGCCTTTGAGGAGGACCCATCGTCGGTGGGGTTGTGGGGTCAAAGCTTGCACCAGGAGGACTGGAGTTTCCTATCGTTTTTATGCCCTGAACGACTGGGAGAACGAAAAAATACATCGGCATCACAAATGGAGATGGGGTTTCACCTGCTTCGTCCTGCATCCTTTGCAGTAGGCCTCCAGTCGTGCCTTCTGAGAAGGTGGGACTGAGGTGGGTTTGGAGGGTCCAAATACCTTCTGAGGAGGTATGACTGGAGGTGTAGGGGTACATCAGGACGTCCAGATTTGAGTCCACGGACTGCGACGAACTGCTTCGAACTCGGTGGGACATGGTCTCCTTCGGGTAAGACTGTATATGCCTCACTCTATCTCCAGCCCAGCCCTTGGGGAGGCCAATTGCGCACGCGGGCTGCCGATTCCAGTCATACAAGGAACCTCTCGAGATCAACAGCGTCCATTTGAATCTCATCCTCAGTCAATCTTGCGCTCATTGCGTGCAATGAGTAGTGCAATGTCAGTTTGTGTTTTTTCTGCACAGCCACATACTGGTGTCAACAGCAAATCGGTCCTCGCATAGCAGACGTAGCTTGGGGCTGCTGTGTTTTACACGTAGCGTGAGCCTCCGTGAACTGTCCCCAGCTTTTGGAGAGGCAACGACAACGATGATTCCAACGATGACAACGAACGCAACCCCGTTTTCCTAGTGACTTTATGTCATGGTTTGGCCTGTGGTACTGCTTATGGTCTTTTTCATGAACTTAGTTGGGGACACATCAAACAAAAAATACCGGTCCTAGCCCCGTCTTGGAGCACAGCTCTACCGGTCGACTGCAGTGCCGGCATCTTCAGGTCGACAGTCAGAGAGTGGGTCTGGGAACCGTGGCAACAATCACGCCAGAACATGGACAAAATCCTTGCCCTATGGATCCACTGCCACCGAACCTCAGAAGGTATGTGGGGCCCTCCAAACCTACATAGTCTAGATCTCCAATCACCTCAGGTTCGGTATGTGGATCCATAGGCTTGCACAATGGGTCTTTCTAAAATACCTTCAGCTTCTGATCATGCGAGGGGACACCAATGGATATACGCCAAAAACCTCTTTGTTCGCCTCGTTGTATGAATCAATTCTCGTTCACACACAGTCATGTTAAGCCAGTTTCCTATTAGACTATACCCAGAAGCACCAAGAAAAACCAGAAAAACACACAAGGACGACTTGATGATCATGGCTGGTCAGTTTCTTGATGATGCATGTCTTTAAAGCTACCTATAGACCTTGGGCAGTCGTTCTTCCTCTTTCTGACACCACCAGGCCGAAACGCTGCGCATCAGCGGTTTCGGTCCGGTCGGGGCGGCCGAGGGTCAAGCCAGCTAAGGCATAGAGCACCGAGCCCAGGACGGTTCCCAAGGAACAAATGACCCAAATGGTCTTAAAGGGTAAACCTCAGTCCATGCAGCTGCCACGCAGGGCCCCGCGCCGCGCCGCGCCCAACGAAAAAAGGAACCGGGTGAGACGACGCGTGGGATGAAAGGATGGAGAAAACGAAGGGACAACATCAGCAAAAACAACAGGACCTAACAGAGGTTGTTTGTGAGCCGAACTAGGACCCGGAAAACCAGGGGTACCGAACTAGGATAGCCTACTAGTTCGAGAGCAACTTGAGGTCGTTTCGGCCTCTTTGGCCGTCTTTGGCTGACTTCGAAGTGAAATTCGACATGTCTATGTTTCTGTGTTTCCAGTTCATATAATGATCATATATAGCTGCATCTCCCATATTCGGAGTATGGCTGAAAAACGTGATTCGTTCGCCTGGCAACAAGCAAAGAGCTTCTGGTTGCAAAGATTGCCAGCGATACTCAGGATGGGTAAACATCCAATCATCAGCCCGGCAAACAGCCGACCAGCACCCAGCCTGCAGCATCGCGTGCTTAGTGGCATCGTCAGAAATGCGGGCGTGGCGTGAACTGCTCCACCTGGTCCTCTGTCAGCCTGATGAACCATAAGCCCAGAATACCTGGACCCTCCTACCTTAGAACATGCGACATGACATGACCCTGTAAAACACAATGTAATCATACCGTACGAGTACCCACAATGGGATGCAAGGTACATGTACGTCTCTGAGACTCGGTCCAATTCACGAAAACTACAGGGCAACGAGACGAAGCGCTCGGAACCCTCGCTGCGAGCCCTGTCACGATCTACCCTGAACCGCTGCGCCGTCTCCGAAGTCGGACGCGGGGGACGTGCGCGCGATGTCAGCGTCTGCGCCTTTCGGCATATTCATTGGCCGTGGGGATGGTAATCACCAGGTTCACCGTGCACAAAATCAGGAAGTAGTGGATCAACAACAAGGAGCTCACGGGCGGCATCCGTGCCTCCCAGGTCTGATATCGTCCGGCGATGCAAACGTCTTTTTGTGTTTTTGTTGGACTTCATAGTCGCAGTCTGTAGGGCTTGGAGGTGTCACTAAAGTCAATGCTCTGTAACATATGCAAAGAATTAGCAAACTTCCATATCTACAAACACTCCTATAGTCTCACGGTTTAGATATTATGTTTAGATGGATTGATTCATTGAACTAAGAAGGGACCGTATTCTCCTGGCAGCTTCTTCAGACACCCTCCGCGGTCGTCCCTGTCCGTCTCTTCGCCGCTCCTTGTCCTCCAAACATGGCTGTTCTTCCTTCACCTCGCTCTCGAAGGATCCAAAGGATCCACATGAGGAGCAAGTAGAGGTTTCGGTGCTGGTCTGCACCATCGTCGTCATGGCCGGGATACGCGGCTGGCGGAGCGGGATACGCGCGGCAAAGACGTGGTCAAGTACAACAGATTTAGCTCCAGAGCCAAAGCAGTTGATTGGAGTCGGCATCGTTGTCTTGACACGGAACAGAACACTCAGCTAAGAACCACCTCCATTGATATAGTGTCGTCCCCGTCTTGGTTTCTTTGCTCGATGATGTCTCCACTTTGTGGGGAAACCGTGCTTTCGACGTGCAACTCATGCCCAGTGGCCCTCAAGCCCTCGTGCTCCCAATGACTTCAACAGAAGAAATCGTTCCACAAAAAAAAGTCCCCTCTTCATCCTTTCTGATCGGCTTTCCCCATCTATTCCACTGGGATTAGGTCACCTGTGAGCGTCACCCTCGCATCCACTCTCAAACCCTCCCATCACCCATCTCCGCGCGTGTTTCAGTGGAGAGGCTTCACAAAGGGCCGGAACATGACGGGGACCTGCGCGTCGCCCGGTCGAAACGCGAACGCACTGGTCGAAGATCCGACTCCATGGCTGTGGGTCAGGGCACTAGATGGCAGGATACCTTGGTTGGACCAAAGCTCCAGGTTTTCACCCAAGATGACATCTCCCAAAACTGCAGTATAGGCCCTATAGTGGAAAAAAACCAGCCCAGGTCGCCCAAGTCGGTCAGTCACCGCAGTGACGGTGCCTGGGCAATGCAGCACCAACCGCAAAGCTTCATGGTCTTGGTGAGGTCGCCAGGCAAGGCGCGGTCGGCCTAGGCCGACGACTTGGAGCGATGGTCCATCCGGAGCGGCGCTTCCGTGTTGAAGAGGTCGGACCGGTCCGATCGATGTTTCAAATGTTTTTCGATCCATTTTCCGTACACCCCAAAGCACTTTAAGCTGTTGGGCCAACATCAGGGGCCAACACCGCAATGAATGGCAATCCTCAGAGATAGTTTTGTAGATGAACCATCACAGCCCCAAGTGGGACCAAATCAAGGTGACATAATATATACACTCCCGAAAACTAACATAGGCCCTGACAATGGTCCCATGAAAGACTATTTTCCTCTACCAACCAGGGGTTTTCAGGTTCCATGTTAGTCTTCCAGGGTGTATAATATATAAACGCTAGAATCCGATGCAAGAATCTGCTTGCACTTTTCACCGTGCTCTTTTCTCCACGCCTTGAGAGGCACTACTTGCTGGATGAGGTCCACGACCTGCGGATCGGCATCAGATCGGAACATCCATGAAACTGGAAGATTGACCTGCATTGACCCTAACTGTAGATCCTCTACCTGGACCCTCCAAGGGGTGTCCATAATGGACTACCCCACACTACCTATAGGCTTCCATTGGGCATTGCCTGGAGGGTCCTGGTACAGTACACATCAATCTAGCTGGAGGCAAATATTCCATACGTACGTAGATTAGTAGGCGGGATTGTGTTGTGTTATGTTGTCCCTTTGTGTTGCCCCTATTCCATCCTTTTCCTTAAGTATCCTATGTTTGTTCTGGATCATGTTTAAATGTCAATCAACACCGGTGAGTGCCGCTTTGATCCTTGAATCACGTCCACGGAACACAAAGTGCCTCTTTGTCACAAGCTTCGTTTTTTCTTAAAGATCACCTTGACAAACATCTTGACACACACACAATATATGAATAGCTATGATATGAACAAATCAGGCTTGTCAAGCTATCACACCTGAACAATATATGAATAGCTATGTTCAGGCTTGTCCCGAGTCTGCTTCATGAACAGCTTCGTCTTCCTCTGCCGGACTCTACGTCTCCCGTGGTGCCTTCTTGGAGACCCATTCGTCATCGAAGCGCCGCCGGACTTCATGCGGGCTGACGCCGCGCTTGACCTCGGTGGGTGAAGGCCCTCTCGGTCGACCGGTGAGGAGCAAGCGGAGCAAGCGGAGTATCTGGGCCTCCCTGACATTCAAGTGATATGCCACCAGTTGGCCATTCTCAATCACTTGCCTAGAAAGAAAGGCACGGGCAAAAGCGAGGACGGTGCCCATGCATCGATCGGCAGCAATTCTGGCCCTCTTACTCGCGTGAGCATCCAAGATCAATGAATTTTCAAGATGTTCTTTGGCTGAGGCCGCGACTCCGCGACCCTGGCCTTTTCCCAGGATCCCCTGCTGGAGTTCCAAAACCTCCGCGCGGTTCTCTGCTGGTGACGGAGAAGAAACTCAATCTCAAGCTCTTCGGATGTGTCTTTACTTTGATTCTCTGTCGCCACTGAATTCTACAGTATTCATTAGTATTCTATACTAGCTTAGCAAGGGCTTGCAAGGTGTTTGGCAGGCGGCAAACTGATGAACATGGACCGCCAAACCCACTGGCATTTTGTGAAACAAGGAAGTGGAAGGGAAGGTGTAACACATTTTATATCAAGCACATGGACCTGAAATGACCTGAACCACCCTGCTGCAACTACAACAGAATGCTCATACCACAGCGAGGCCAACGGTTTCGTTCACAACTGAAACGGATGTCGACCACTTGAGACGCACCGAGTTGCTTGAACGCACGTGACACGCGTGCGACACGTCGACGGTGCGAACAGGGCGGTGCCGTCGGGTCTCCGCACGAGACATCTTGGCCCACAGCGAAGCGTGCTTCGGGTCGCAAATCTGGCCTGGGTCCCATCGGGTTTCCGAGGCCCCGGTGAGCTGATAGGAGGCGTGCTCCCATACGCAGTGCGAGAATCCGAGTATGGAAGCGGAGACCAAGTGGAGAGTACCTGGACCCCACTGACCCAGTAACCTTAGAAAATGGGACATGACATGATATAAAAACAGGTACTTGTACCCATTTTCCAAGGTACTTTGAGACTCCAGGTACCTGAAGGATCCTCCTCTTCCAAGGGGGGTCATCATCTTGTTTAACTCCCGTGTGATTGGGAGCGTATTCTGGAGTTTCAGCAAGTGGATCTTCTGTGGAGAAGTTTCGACCCTTGTTGAGGCCCTAGAGTTGTAGCTGTTCCTGCCTCAGCTGCCATCGATGATGGACATGACATAGCATCAACTTGTAGAGTGGTGAAACAAACAATTTGGATCCACCAGCAGTCACAAAGGGGTGCTTAATGGAGGGTAGGGGTGCCCATTATCCACTCACTTAGGGACCCCTTTTTGTGACTCCTGGCATTTGGTGCTTTTTTATGTGGTTGTGGGTTGTCATTGTCCCCTGTCGATCTACATCACGGTCCCCCCGTCGGATGCCTTCGGGATTCCGGCCTCCCCCCCCGAAGAACTGGATGGTCTGTACAGGCTTTCGACCCGATCCCGATCCCGCTCACTGCATGTGGTGTTCTTCGCCGTTCAACACATGAAAGAGGTGTTCAAAAATCAAAACCAAAACAGCCAAAGCAAAAGAATCTGTATTGTTTCATTCAGGAAACAATGATGAAACCTTGCGTTTCCTCGGGCGGTCTTGACCACCCAGCCATCTCATTTCGGGCAGCCGCGCAGTCCGACACCCATTGTTCCAGCCAGCTTCTCCAAGTACCTGTTTCGTGCATCAACTCCACGTTCCGCCAAACCAGGCAGAATCTACTCCAGCACCAAGACTGGAACAAGCTCTTCCGTGAAGCCGTGCCTCTGCCAAAACGTGATGACTATGGAGGTACCTCAGGAAACACGCAACACCTTCTGATCAAATCCTTCTTGATCCTTCTTGTAATGAACTGAGCTGTGGGCAGATAGGGTCCTTTTCCCAATAGCTTTTAATCTCCTGCAGCGTTCGGAAGCCATGCCGGAACAAACCAAGACGCTGCTCGAAAGCTGCGTCAGTCGCTGCTCGAACGTCCTGTAGGGTCTCGAAGTGTGTGCGGTGTAGAGAGATCCCAGCACCTTGCAGGGCCTCAGACTGTGTGGTGGAAGAGGAACCAATCACAAAAGCCATGACGGGGTGTACCTTTTTCCACGAAGCCGTGCTTTTGGACTGAACTATGGGTCCAACACGTGTCGTTCAGGACTTCTGTATATTAAAGGGAATACGGCCAGGCCGGTGTATATGCATACATGATGTCTATCTACCTCACTTACGGCAGCCCACGACAGACCTATGACCTTCGTCCTTTTCACCGCCCACGCGGTCTCACCGCACTTTGGCAGCGAGTTCCGCCTCAGCGCGCGGAGCTCGTCTCACCGACACTCGGCCTCCCGCCGTGGATCGGAAGGACCAAGGGAGTGACCGGAGTGACCTATACGAATCCTCTCTATCTTGAAACGCAGGCTTTGTATTAGCTTTCACCCCCATCTTTAAGGGCAATTGGAATCTTCGGATCTCCCGACATGAGAGGCTCTTTATATGGCTCCCTTGACAGACCTGGAGTTCCAGCGACTCCAACAGATGGGTCGCTTCACACCGTCTTCGACCGGCCGAGACCGTCCGACGCCGGGTCTGTTCCGAAGCGACCGCAGCGAGACGGAAGAGACGGACGCATGGCCGAGTCAAAGTCTAAGAGTATTGCCTATGCTAAGGCTGCTCCAGGGGTTTATATAAATGCTGAAACCGGTGTTTGGAATGGGCTTCGGTCCAAATGCCTTCTCAGGATCTATCAGGATCGAAGCCCAATTCCATGCTTCGACTCCCTCCGGAACCCTTTGGGCCCCTTGGCTCCACCGTCTCGCCGTCGGCCTCCGTCTCGCCGTCGGTCGCGCCGTCGGAGTTCGTCAGGCCGCAAAGGTGCGGGCCATCTGTCCTTCGCCACGCCGGGCGGTGCGCCCCAGCGCGCCCAAGTCTAAGTCGTGCGATGAGGTTCTGGAGACCTATATAGCTGGAGTGATTTCGAGTCGAGGGGGTGTACCTTTTGAAGAGGGAGAACTCACTTTCTCGCTTCAAGGGGGTTGATTGGATGATTTCTGAGCGAAGCCAGCAGGGTCCAACTAACTGCATGGGAGGTCTCCCTACTTGAATCCACACCCCGATGCAGTTCCACCACAGACCTGCGGCAAGTATTTCCCCATAGAATCCAAGATCCTTGCCAAGGATGGACACCTCACCTGATGGATGCACCCGTCAACCCATCAACAAAGGTCTCAGCAAGCTCTTCTACAGCAAGATCGGACAAGTCCATTTCCCAACCCTCCCCAGTTCACTTCGTTCTCCTTCCCTTGTGGGGAACCCCAACATGTGTCCAACATTGCGGCAATTTTTGAGGGCTCCATCCTTCTCCCAGCTGCTCCATCCCAGCTAAATTAGCTGTCCCGGTTCGAAACAGTTCGAAAAAGAGACTCCTGCATCCTTGGGGTAGGTGCAAAACCTGGAACATGCGGAACGCGCGGAACATGGAATGCGTACATTCAAAACCACCAAAATAGATGACCGTGGCACGGTTTCCACGACATGTTCTACGGGATCTACGAACTTCTATCTATTTGGGGGTCTGTATACTTAAAACGAACACAACATGCCTACCTGTACCATCCTGTCTGGGTGTTCTGGGTGTCCCATGAACAGGATGGTCCAGGGTCCGACCCCTACCGCTCGAAGTGATAAGTGGATGGCATGGCGAAATCATTCGGATGCTTTGTCCGAATACTAAAACAAGTGGTGATCTTCCACGTTGGCCCATGATGAGGCCACAGGGAATGTCTATGATTATCTGCCCTGCAAGAGCCAGCAACGTCTTCACGGGACAAAGGGGCAACAAACAATGCTCGTCTCCACTGCTGCGCCCCAGCAGCACAAACTGACTGGGCCAATTTGTCAATGTGGCCACCATCACTAAGAGTTTCATCTTGATCGAACTTTGCTAATTCTGTATATAGATACTTGCAGTGCATGAACATTTGGGCCTTATTCAAAACTAACATCCCAGCATAAAAAGGATCATGCTAGTTACACAACGACGATGGATACGTATGTAGGACTGTATGTCGGATAATTGAGTTTTGCAATGTATCTGGATTGGGTATTCTGCTCTTGTCGACGAGAGTTCCCTCAGGTTTATGTTCAATAGATCTATCCTCGCAACATGAGTTCGTTGTGGTGCCATGTTTGTTGTGTAGGCCTACCAATTATGCACAACAACATGATGACTAACATGTTCTACACATTTCTACATGCCATCTTTGCCACCAGGCCCTTATGCCCGACATCATTCTGGCTTTCCACTCCTTTCCCAAACTGCTGTGTTTGGTGTTCGAACCCTTCTGGTACGCACGTCTACATCAAGGAATAGCATGCACGTCTCGTCAACACCGTCCCCCCGCAAGCTTTCAAGGAGTGTATAGTACCCAGACACTCCATGGGACCGCCATATATGCCTACATCAGGGTGGTTTTGGGGGGGTCAATGGGACGGCACATATGGCAGTCCCAGACAGGTCGTGTCTGGGTATTGTTGTATCACCTCAGGTCGGTTCTATAGGCAGCTGAACTCCCGAACTCCCGAGCTGAACTCCCAAGGAACATGGGAATCCATGCGAGGCCACAAAGCGTCCAGGGGACGACCGAGACACCCAGCAACGCCTCGATGGCAGACACCCTCAAAGGGTTGGGAAGCATTTTTTCATGCGGAACGTGCCAGGGTCTTGTGGTGACTGTGGCACGGTGTTCAATACATGTTCGACGTGGGGATCTACGAACTTCTATACATTTCTTGGGGTCTACATTATTAATATTTAACACTCTACCTATATTGGTAGCTATATTGGATCCTAATTGGTTGTTCAGTTGGAGTTGTCCCATCGATCAAGCAACCAAGGCCGTTTTTTAGGGACATCTTGTGGGAGCAGTTGGCTGGCTGTGCGCGTGGTGGAGACATGGTGCTGGTGGTGGGTGGGTGCTGGGTGCCTGGTGCTGTGAGGTGCCGGGTGCTGGCAGCTGTATGGCGTGTAAAAAATTGGAGCTGCTGCCAATGCAGGGTGCAGCCCAACAAAATCTTTTGCATGCTTTTGCTATCTGGGGTCTATGCTAGAGTAATTTTTTCAAGATTCTTGGAAGATGTGAACCTCCAAAAGCTGATCAGGCCCACCATGATTTCTGACTGCGAGTCGGATGTGCAAGGTGAGCTGGAGTTGATTGGAATTCAAAGACTGCGATTGAAGCTTTGAGGGTGAGCCAGTGAATGCATCAAGTGACTACTAGCGAACGAGAATGCACTTGTCCGACTGCTCACTCCGGTGAATCTGACGAAGGAGTTCCTTTCTTTTTTCCGGATCTGGTCCCAATTCAAGGGCACAAACACATGGTGAACACCAGCTGCCTTTCATCGCTGCTGCCTTTCACATGTGTGTCATTCTGTGTGGACACCAGCTGCCCCAAAGGGTCTGGAAGAGGGTGAAACATCAAAGTGAGAGACCCCACAAACAAACAAACATGGACCCTGAGAATGGACCGGTGCTTTCGACCATCTTCCAAAGACCAACCCAGTCCCAGGGCATCCAGATACCACTACATAGCTGGTAACCAGTGGCTCCAAAGACTAAAACCATAGACCGGTTCCGAATCCCTGGTTCCTTACTACTATAATAGTGGTTTCACTGGGATCCACAGGGAGTGGTTGAACAGGGGTTCCATGTGATCCGAACTCCGCAGGGGAGGGATGGTTCTTAATACTCGAACGCAGTCGATGCCGCGCCCCTTGGAACACCACCACGAAAGGACACATCGGTCCTACGAAGTCGGAGGGTCCGCATGGATGACACCCTATACGGATCATTGGACCCTCCGAACTGGAGGGTTTGGACCCTGCAGAACGCAAAAGGACCCGAACCAAACCTTCACCTTCGAGGGTCCTTGATCCTTAGGGCACCATCATCTTCTCCCAAGTCTGGGAGAATGACTCCTCCAACGTCCCAATTAGCAACGAACGGATGAATCGAGGAGTACCAAAGTCTCAGCTTGGAGGAACTCCGAAATCCCAATCCCAAAGTCTCAATCCTCCAGCATCCATTATGCGCCCTGGGCACTCTGTGCGGATTCGGCCTACAGCCTACGTGGGCCTTGCAGGATCCCATCCCTTAACACGCTGGGACTGAGTTCGGCCTTCAGGCAGTGCCCTCTTGGAAGTCGGGGTGCCCATCCACTCCGTTTTCGTACCTCCGAAGCGGTTCGGTATGGGACGGCACCTGGACCCCGGTCGTCCCAAACGAAACGCTTCGGTACGACTGCTTTGGCCAAACTGGAGGCCAAGGGGACGAAAAACCCACCACAATTCCTCAGGTTCAGTATTTTCACTCCTCCAAACCCACTCCTTTTTCATGGCTCCTGGAGACTCGCTTGGGGTTTTGCGGCTGCGGCGCGGAGCGCAAGGCGGCGATGTTGGCGCTGCGAGCGCTCGTGCTCGTTGAGCGCGAGGGGTCGCTCAAGGAGTAGCCGAAGGCCTTTCGCCCAGGGGTCGCGCATGGGGAAGTCCATGTGTATAGGAGAAAGTGCCAATGGAAGGCCATCGACTGCATACATCATACAACTACTGCTATTTTAAGTGTACAGAAGTCCATGGGTAATTCCTTGCATGCTTTTGGTCTGTGCTGGTGCCTTCATGAGAATTCCGCCATCGTTGAAGTGGACAACTAGGCTATGAGAGGTCTTGAGACATCCTGAATGCTTGGGTGCTACCAGCTGACAATGGCTGACATAAGCCAATGAAGAGCACCAAACAAAGCGCCATGCAACATGGAGACCAGAGTCTCCTCACTTGCCATTACTGTTCAGATTCAACCTGTCATGCTAAGCTGCTAAACCCCAAAACATCCGCAAAACCATGCGCACAACGAGGAGTCCATGATCTGCCAGACTTCGTCCCCATTCTCAGCCCTCCAATCCAGTTGGCCGCCGGTGTCCCAAACACTCTCCGCTTGGCTCTTTCGTGCGCGCGGGGCCGCTCTCGCTCGGGCCTCCGACAAGGTACCGGCTAAGGGCGCTCCGCAGAAGGAGGAGATAATGCCTTCAAAGGCAATCCTGCAAGGAGATCTGACCGTTTGAAGGATCTGACCAAGACCAAACAGGCACGGACCGTGACCTAAGCTCCAGCACTCGCAGTCGACAGGATGTTTAGAAGCAGTCAAGCCTCAACAACTACCTATCATGTCACAAGAAGCTCGAGGCAAACCATCCTGTCCCGGTCTGTCCCCTCAGAAAAGGCCTCTCGTACAAGGACCCTGGTTTCGAGGAATCCTTGAGAGGTACCCTTCGGCAGGACTCCTGCCAATCCGAGGTGCTTGAACAAACACCCACAATCGTAAGTGTCAAAAACACCCCACAGGCATGCTAAATAGGAAAGGGAAACAACAACACACACACAATTCTGCGTTCTAAAAGCATCAATTCAATTAACCCATTCAAATCCTTCAAAAGGCATCGCTTTTCTCATCACAATCAGTCCATAAGGCCAGAATTTGTGCCCGGTCGTGGCTGTCTCGCACGATGTCGCCGCACATGGGGCGAAGTGCGGCAGACTGCGTCCTGCAGCGCGAGGTCTTCCAACCGCGCTTCGACCAAACCACGCAGGGTAGAGACAGCGGTGAGACGAGGTGGGTAATTGCTTCAGGGTGCGGAAAAAGGAATGAGTGAGAAGGAATTCTCCAACGACGCAGCAGCTCTTGCGTGACAGGCATACGATGGCATGAGGCAAGTCATTGGATTCAAATCTCGCAGTCGCTTCTCCGAGGTAATGATTCTATAGAAATGTCTTCATGCGCTGCACATGAAGCCATTCAGGATCTTTTGATGATGTGAAGATATGTGAAGGTTTATCCACTTTATATATTCCATAGAGAAACCTCATAGACTCCACATCTGAACACACACCAAACCCCTGTTGCCAAGCGCCGAACACGAAGCGCTCTGACCCGCCACCAAAACACGGCTCCAGGTTCCGGTGAGGTGAAAGGTGAACATCAACAAGACCACCAGCCTCCAAGCGCAAAAAACACCGACCGGATGCGCTTGGTAAAGACCTCCAAAGCTTCGTGTGGTTTTTGTTTGATGTCTTTTGTTTGTTTCAAGCCTGTCCATAGGGTGTGTATGGGATCTCCAGGGGATTGGTGATCAGAAGGGAAGATCTATTACAAGCATCCGTTTTTGGGGGCGCCCAACCAAGAATGCCAGTCTAATATTATGGAAGCCTTTGGTGCTGAAGATCATGCAGTTTCTCTGGTCATTCATGGTTCTACCTTGGCTTTATCTCATGAACACTTACCACCAGGAACTGCACGAGAACTGGCAACTTCTACCGTTCTATATCAACTTCCTTTGTTTTTTTTGCGGCTCACAAACTGTGACCCGCGATGGTCGAAACGATACTTGGACAATCTTGGACAGGTAGGAAGTTCATCCATTGGTCGTCTTGCGGAGTTGAAGAGGTGAACTCGACATAGCTCGTACTACAGGATCTCTAATTCGCGGATGTCCACGTGTAGATCCAACTCCACCATACCCTCTGCTCGTTGATGTACTGTATAAACATGTCTTAAACCAAGCATAAGCTCATGTGTAAGCATAATGCTGAACAAATAAATCAATCTGTTGATGAACCATGTATTCGTTGCATCCACAAACTCATAAAATTGATTAAACTAGAATTTCAAATAGATCCAGTCCCTGAGATTTTCTCAACCTGTGGCTACCTTGGTTTACGAACGATCAAACAAACTGCCTATTTTCTGGGTAGTCACTGATTCAAGAACTTGTAGCGAAAGCTGTTTCTTCTTTGGAAACCAAAGTGGTGGCAAGTCTCATGACGTTTCGCAACGGCAAGGTCTCATGACGTTCCAGGGTCAGGTCCCACGATCTGCCGAGGTGCCAAAAAGAGCCATTGGCATCGGAGAAGACCATGACCTTATCAGAGAAGCTAGTGAATATATTGCATAAAACCCTCAGCAATAGTACACTCAACCGGAATTGACTTCACGGTTTTATAAATTGATGGCTGAAAACGTACCTGTATCATGATCAAGCAAGTATACCTGAAGAATGTTCAATCTGCTGTGAAGCCAACTTCCCCACAGAATTCCGTGTCTTGTTCTTTAAACGGCCCCCCACATATTCTTGTCGTCATACGCATGTCGCCCCAGACTTCCGATGTCGTAAGCGTCCCAAGTCATGGGAAACGATCAACGGTTTCGTAACATGTATGTGTTAGTTTCATTGCTATATGAACAAGGCAAAGAACAAGGCCATAAAACATTTACCCACAAATTAAGCAAAACCAGCCAACACCTCGGTTTAGGAGGTGCTTCTTTCTGAGCCCGATGATGCTACTTACGCATAGCTTGGGTCTATCCCGTTACCAGGGCCCCAGTGGATGATGATGGTTCGTTTCCAGGCCCTTCACCAAAACCGTGGATTTGCTTGTGAAACCCGACTGTTTACAGGTCAGTTCGGACAGACCGGGAAGCAACACACGCACACATGGCACCACGACCGCCACGACCACATGGTGCCGAGATGCCAAGGTGAAGAAAAGGATGCCCATGATCACTGAAAGCAGCGCGACCAGGCACCTGGCAAAGCCCATGAGGTGTTCTAGGTTTTGCAGTTCTTGTTGTAACACATGATACGTTTGGTTTTCTATTCTGCACATATGCTTAAGATGTTCTTAAGTGAACAGTGATGATCGAATGCACAATAATTCTGATGGACATCTTGTTGCTGAGAGATCTGAAGAATCCGCCATTGCCCCCCCCCACACAATTCTGATGTGTTGTTTTTTGAATATATATTATATATATATATATTATATAGTGGGTTGAGAGTAGATGGCGCAATCCCCGAAAGGTGTTTTATATGGACCCCTATATATCCTATACAACAAATGATCTGCCAACTCACGAAGTTCAGCGATCGAACACGCACAGCACGAGTGCGGACTTTCTCACTCTATGGCGCAGCGCAAGGTGGCCCAAGGTTCAACGCGCGCACCCGCCCTTCGTGAGAGCAAATGCACACAAGTGAAAAAACATGTTCCTCTCGAACTCTCGAACGAAATGGGTTTTCGTGCCGAAAACTGACATCGGTGAGGCACTCCATCGGCCTTTCTTCATCCAGGGTTGCAGCGGTTGCAAGGCCTCTTGCAAATGCTCTGGGATCCGCCACATGTCCTGGTTCGATGCCAGCATTCACCAGATGGGGTGACATAGATCGGTCCTGGAGCGGTCATCACAACTGGTCCGGAAGATGTTCCGGATCGTGCACGTCTCACGGCCTCATTGGCCACCATCAACTCACCCTGGAGACGAAGGTTTTCTTCTTGCAACCTTCTAACCTTCTGCTCTTCTTTCTCCAGGTCTTGGATGATGCTTTCACGTTCACGCTCCGACTGGTCCTCAAGCTCCTCTAATTCACGCTTGAGTCTCACAATCTCTTCATCAGTCTTCAACTGACGTTCACCCATCTTGGTGCAACACGCAAACACAAATCGACCAATGAAACATAGCAATGTAATCACACCAACAATGCCTGTCACAATGAAAGCTTCAAAGCCGCCGAAACTCCAGTCTTCATGAGTGGATGCCGCTGCTTTGGTCACCTCATCGGCCATGATCAACGCAATCAAACTCTGCGCTATGTCAGACCTTGTGGTGCGAGTCTCGTTCACGGTCCTCGCTCTCTCTTCTTTCGACTTCTTCTTTGCTGCAACGAAACCTTCATCTGCGACCAGCTGGATGTGGCTGCCACGGTATCGTTCAACAAAGTTCTGTCGAGCTCCAACCTTTGTCAAGCCATCCGACAACTGGCGTTCACTTGAAACCCAACGCCATTGACAATGCAAATCTGCCAGCAAGCTCTTGATCACCAAGCCCTCTATTGCAACACGTTTGTCTGCTGCTTGCTGAATCGTTTCACGATGCACAGCGTCAAAGAGTGCTTTGCAATCTGTCACCATTGCTGACTCACCTGACAGGTTGTCCTTGATGTACTTGAGCTCGACACCTGGCCTACGAAGACATTCCACAAAAGTCTTCACCATCAAGAGCTCCTCCAATGCCGTGGCACATGACTGACATTCAGCTGCTAAGGAACTTCTGCAAACTCTGGGGACTTTGAACGACCTCCAAGAAACAATCGAGGCGGGACGCTTCTCACCCTGCAAGACACCC